TGCTTCCAATGAAATAAATATCCATTTATCTTGGATAGAACTCAAGATATCTGCAATCGAAGGAAGAGAGGTCGCCTGGTTTCAGTGGTGAAATTAACGAGAAAATAGCCGCCAAAATTTGGTAACTCCAATAGCTAAATAGTCTTTGAAAGCTGATCAATCACATATTGTGTGCATTTAATCAATGTTTTTCAGTAAAATTCACATGGAAATGTGTTTTATATGGATGTAAAAGAGGTTAAGCCAAAAAATACAAATTCAATAAAAATTTCCAAACTGTCGGAAGAATGCCTGTTTCTCCGATTTCATTATTTTGACGAGCGCCTGATTTCATCACGCTGCCTCACAAATGTTACAAAAATACCTTAAGTCCCTCTACTTTGTCTTCGCCAGCCTTAACTGCTCCTTCACTAACAGCAAGGGCTGTCTCCACATCCTTGAGCTGAGTGGTAAGGTTCTTGATTCTCTCTCTCATCACTGTGTGATCAGCCTCCGCTTTGTTCATGGACATCTGTAGGCTGTTGGCCTTTTCCTCTGCATTGACCTGACACAAAAATCATTAGACAGTTTGAATTCCTTAGTTTAGAGATACAGATAACCATACAAGTAAATAATAGTTCTGTTGTATACAAAAAAGAATATGTAACACAAAAGTAAGAGACAAATCAAAACAGTGGCGAGATTCTTGTTTACAGCAAGTCTGCAAGACATTGACCAAGAACAGATTAGAACGTCAGCAATACTGAAAAGAAATAGAAGAAGCAAACTACTCCAGTACTCCAAGCAATTGCCCACTGCTGGATAGACAGGTAAAAAGGAAAACCTAGTAGCACATTATACTCATCAACGTGGTAGTTAAAAAGTCTTGAGTGATAATGAGCAGAGAAACATTTCCCTACATTGGTGGGGGTTTTCTTTAATTTGGGATACATACATCACTATTTCACAGAAAAAATGCTTTGATATGCATATTAAGATGAATACACACACAAGTACAATTGATGTAGTTATACTGCACAAAAGGATTACACTATATCAGGCTCATGGGCGACAATCTTACTAAAATCATAAGATACAACAAAAAATGGGCAACACATGCCAGACTTTGCGGTTGTAATGTGTGGAATAAAGAAATATAACAAAACACAATATGTGGGTAGTTCCCCCAGAAAAACTTTGTTGTTCAAAACATAAGAATTTCTAATCTATAGAGCCATCACAGCAACAGTGTGAAAAAGGAAAAAGCATTTCCTTCCTTGGAAAACATATTAATCATTGAAATCAACAACAGAAAGGGGCAGCGGGTGTGAGGGCAATAGCAAAATCCACCGTTCAATATCATTGAATTATCAAACTGTGATTGTTTATGCCATACTTTTGCAGCCAGCTGTGGTTATATACCGTTGTCAGAACAGTGCCGGTCTTGCAGCACGTGCCATAATAGACAATATATTTCTTGATATCTCATAGAGTCCAGTCACTCACATACAGAGATTAATGAGAAAATGCAAAGAGCACAGCAAATTTGTCAATAAGCTGGGAAAGAGCGTAAAAATCAAGCCAAGCAAAAAGAAAAAAGAATAGCAAATTTCAAGGCACAAAATGTAAAAAGACAAAGAAAACAACAGCTCAAAACCTTTTTCCTTTTTGCATCATCCACCGTTTCCCTGATCTGCTCCAGCTTCTCTTCTGAGACCTTTCGTGCAGCGACCTCTTGGCTCAGTTTGTAGTTCACTTCTGACAGCGCCCTCTCCTGGGTCCGTGTCTGCTCTGACAAATGGTCTTTGGCATCCATCAAAGTCCGCACTTCCTGCACTGAGGACTTCAAGTTTTCTTCCACCTAACGACAACAACAGCAAAGAGAATGATAGAAAGGCGAGCAAGGAAAAATGAAAGAACAAGACAGTGTACAGGAAGAAAGGGATTTGCAGGGGTGGGCTCAGCTCGGTGAAAAATATTCAAATTTGAACATGGGGAGAGAACACAGCGCATTCAAACTTCAATCACAACATACGAGTCGTACAATATAAAATGGAGGAGGCTCTTTTCCCCAACTTAGAAGAAAGAGAACCTTGAAGTCAGGAAAAAACTCAGAGCACCCAACTCACAATTTGACAGGAGCAGGAAATGAATACTTGAGAGTATATGGAGGGTCACAGATAAAATACTCTCATCATTGACAGTATGAAAGTTTACAAAATAAAGGAAACATTTATATAAGGCACAATGATAGAGGAGCTCACAACCCTGGATAGACCCAAAGACTTTGATCAGCATACAATGTCTACAATCACAGCATTTGTCTTAAACTATTTTTTCTATGGAGTTTATCAGCACATATCAAAATATACCCATACAAATTTGAGCCACGACAACAGAAACACAATCCATGCTATTTTATGGGTGAATATCCAGGAGCCCAATCACAATAGGTATGTAGAATAAATGGAATAATTAATTATCAAAGTGTTCTCGTCTCTGAACCAGCAAAAGCGAAAAATCTTAAGATTAATAAATAAAACTGCAAACTGTTGAAAGTAAAGTCGCCAATTCTATTATGATGTCTCTGCATACAAAATGTCTGTAAAGACAGTCATGCTGCTCCATTGATATAAAGGTAATTGGGGGAAAATCTACAAAAAACAATTGAAGGGTCAAAGTAGGATCACAAAATCTTTAGGTTGGCATTTAGATGCATTTTCAAATAACACAAGGAGCTATTGATGAAGGTAATGTGAAGATAACGGAGTGATCCCATATGATGAAATTAATGTATTTAGCCCTAATACGGCATAAGCTCAGACAATCTTGACTGACAATAATTATTAAAATGATTTCCACATAAGACAAAAAGTGTCAGAGCACAAAATTGTTCATGTAATTGTCAATGCTGAAAGCAATGAAAGAAACACACAAAAAGAACAAAAGGACAGAACAAGCAAAAGTATCATGTACCAAAAACATCAAACATGTTCATTGTAACCACAGATTACTTTCTTTAAAAGTATGAGAGGCCCATCAAGAAAGAGGATTTTTTTTTCATTGGCCATAAATTTATCAATGAGAACAGAAACCTATTTTTCTCCAAGACAAGACTTTGATCATAAGAAACACTGAGAGCAAGTCATGTCACTAGTCATACATAATCACCAAGGTCCATACACAATCAACATTTAAATGTACACAATAAGGAAAATGTTAGAGCAAAACTTAGTACAAGCCAGCAAAATCTCAAGAGTCAGTCCTCCAGTGACACAGACACAAAAATTCATCACCACAGAGCTGAAAACAGATAGAAGTGAGCAACAAAATCAAAATAGTCGATAAACACACACTCACGCACACATGCAGACAAACACACATACAAACCTTGTTCAGGGCATCTCTGAGTGTTTTCTTCTCAAACTCATGATGAGAGCGCATGCCGTCTATAGTGTGCCTCATCTCTGTGACCTGTGACTCCGTGGATTCCCCACTACTACGCAGCTGATCCTTCAGGTCCAAAATAACCACCTGTGCCACATACCATAAAAAGAATAATACGCCTTTTTAATATGTAACACCATCAGTAAAAGCGAGGCTCCCATTTCTAGGAAAAATATTTTAAAATTGTTCTTATGATTCCTCAAAAATAAGAAATGGGAAGCTAGCAAAGAACTTATTATTTTCTAGCTTTTAATTCATGAAAGAAAAATGTTACATTTTCTTCAGAAGAAAAAGTTCAGTATATTTTTCAAAGCAACTGAGTATTGTTTTTCTCTATTGTTATATGTACTAGGAATCATGAGCTTTCAGTTTTACATGTATGTTTGACATAGGGAGTATTTCTACACTTGGCTGGAAGTTTGCATGTAACAACACAAAACTTGCTATTTAGACTACTATAAAGCATTGAAGCATTATCTGAAAAAATTATAGGTAAGGTTCAGTGGATGATAACAGACCTCTTTCCTTGCTACAGTGTCCTGTATATTTGAGTTTTCATCCCGTAAACTCATCAACTCTTTGCGCAAAGACTCCACAAGCAGCTTTGACTCGGCAGAGATTTTGTCTTGTTCACTGATATAATTCTCCAAGTCTTTATTTTGTCTGAAAGGGAGATGAAAAAATCGTTAATATGACAAAGAAAAGTCAAGACTCTTCGAGCTCATATCAGTACTTATCTCCTTTTTTGGATCTTTTAGAGTCATCAATCAAAAATATAGGCAGTGTAACACACATACACTCAGAACCAACACCAAAAATAAGTTAAAAGCCATTCCATCCTTGATCTTATTATAATTAGAACATTGCACAAAGGCAAAGAGATCTTTGACAACTTTACCTTTGAGCATCTTCAAGTTCCTTGAGCGTGTGGTTGAAGCTCCCAATCTGTGCATCTTTCCTGCTCAGTTGCTGCTTCAGATCCTCCACTTCTTGCCTGGGAAGAAACACAAGAAAAATTCAGGAAAGTTAAATAGCTACATAAGATTATCTCTTTTACATTTTACAATCAGCAAGTGTATAACGCTGGAAAAAATCCAAAAGTCAATATCCTACAGAGCTGAATTTTAGGAGAGCACTTGACAGTGTGTGTAGGTAGTCCTTCGTTGCCGAAGATGACGATGAATCCTGCAGCTCATCTGTGGACGCGCATGTTGCTGTGCAATTCGGAAGATGGTGATGAGCTGTAGAAAGAACCTGTGCGTGACTTTGTTTAAAGTGGAGCTGTTGTTGCACGGTGGCAGTCCCACTCTCTCGGCCTAAGAAGCCTTTACCCAGTGGCACGGAGACCGTTACGTCTGGAGACTGCCAGGCTGCAGTGAATGGCCAGAACTTCTTTTGTTCCTTGTCCATGCCCTTATGGGCTCCACAGCACTTGCTGGTACCGCCTTCAAAACCATTGGATCTTCTGTTGATCTCATCCTCTTCACCCGCCGGGAAACCAGTCTTCACATGCTAGGGTAGGCAAACCCTTAAGAAAAAATCACCAAGAGTCTAGGACCCGTCGGCTACCCTCACAAGGTCTAGCCTGCCGGTCGAAACAGTTGCCCGTGGTATGGCCGCTGTCGCATGCTAACAGCTACGGGGAGCCCCATGTGAGAGTTGCGTGCCCGGTGGGAACCAAAGCGTGAGAGCCACCCGGACAGTATGTACACAGAGGATAACTACTAAGGAACCTTTTAGCTTAACTCAGATGCAGCGGTAGACAGCAAAAAGGTTTTGAATACAGTAAGACCTGTCCAATTATCCTACCACATGTTTCAGAGTGCACCACCTTTACCCTTTTAAATACAGAATGCACATCTGAGCATGTAAAGGTTTAAATAATCCAGGAGTTGTCCCTCGGGTCCTATATGCTCAAGGAAACCAGGGTGCAAAGAGCTAACCCAATGGTACAATATAAAAGAAGTGCCAAATAAAGGAATATCAATATGCCAGGCAGGGATAATAAGAAAAACAAGTACTAATATACCAAACAATACCACGTTATCTTTTTCCTAGTCCTATGGGCCTTTATTACTTCCTACCTGAGTTGAGACAGATCTCTAGTGGTATTTGCTTTCTCGAGAGACACAGCTTGACTCTGTTTCAGTGTCTCCTGACGTACAACGGTGATCTCCTTCTCACTTTTTTTCTGCATCTCTTGCATGGCGGTCTCCTTCTCCCCAAGCCTCCGGCAGGCATCATGGTAATCTGTTCAGGTACATCACAAACACATTCAATATTAAATATGACTTTTTTTCAACTGCTGTAGAGAGCCAAGCTGACTTTCATCCAGTCAGAAATACTCTCATTCAGCATCTCCACAAGTAGGCAAAAAAAATAAAAATGTTCAAGGTTAAATTAAAGATAAAGTCCGCTTACAAAAGCAAATAATTTCAGTAGAAAACAATACAGAAATGTCATCCTCAATAAACTGATGAGAAAAAGAACATCAAGAAGTAGCTTTTTACAGATTGTTTACGACTAATTTCAAGACTTTGAATAAAGTGTTTGAATATCTAAGGAGGAGGGGGACAGGGAAATTTTGAAGCTTGAGGACTTTTGGATGTGATACTAGTCTGTTATAAGTAGGTCTTCAGCCCCAAATGCCGAGATAACAACCTACCTCCTGTGCTTCTACAATATTAAACATTTCACCACAATTTATCTGGAACTCACCTTTCATAAAAGTCTCTTTCTCTGCTTTCGTCTGTTGAACAGTCTCCTTGGCAGCAATCAGATGTCCTTTCTGAGTCTCAAGTTCTCCTGTCAATTCAGCAATTTTTTCCCGCAATTTCTTTTCCTCCTCTTCATGGCTTTTGATTTCCTCCTACAAATAGTAAAGACAACTTTGACCAGACACCAACAATTAAAGAATATTTCATCAAAAGGAAGCTTTTAGATACACTATATACATGCCTGGCACCAGTTGAAGGCTTTTCAGATTTTACACCCTTCCATGATTCCTATTGATTTGTAAATCCCATTTTGCTCATCTTTACATTAATACCCAAACTAGTTGTTAACTTTTCAAACATGTTTAAAAGAGTAAGCATTTTGAAGGACTGTAAACATAGTTCTATTTGAACTGAACATTCGTATTGTACTTTTCGAAATAAAACTGAGCCTGTTCCAAAAGATATTTCCAAGTCAAGACAAGAAAGGAGTTCAGACCTTTAGTTTTTCCTGTGTCTTCCTCTCCGTGGTCAAGTTTCCAAGGAGTAAATTCTGCTCATGTTTCAGAACCTCCATCTTGTGGTTGAGGGAAGTGATCTCCTCTCTCCGCTTTGAGCCTGAGTTTTGTTCTTCTTGGAGCTAGATTAATGGACATACAAAAGAATTGATTAATCAAATAATACATCAACCAATCAGTCAACAAATATTTTTTTAATTAATCAGTCAGTAAATTCAATGATGGGCGATCATTGAATCACTCATGAAAGAACTAACCAATAAAACACATATATTTATATGTAAGCCATCCAAGTTGGAGCTTGAAAAATGGATATATAAAAGAATTCAAATATTAATCAATAAACAATCAGTCGCCAGATAATTTTTTATTTCTCAGTCAGTAAATTCAAAGATGGGCCATCATTGCATCACTGATGATGAATGAACTAAACAATAAAAATAAATATATAATACATCATCTAAGTCAGGAGTTAATTAGTCATAAAAACCAATAAACTCTGCAAAAGAGAATGAACAATTGAATAAATAATAGAATGAACAATTGAATAAATAATAGAATGAACAAACGAGCAACCTTGATTAGATTGTGCTTACTTTCCCTTTTCAAAACGTACTGAGCACTTAGGAGGAAGCGCCAACATCTTCAACTCCATTTGCAAAAGTACTCAGTATCTGAGAACCATTAAAAAAACTGATTAAAAACAATATAAGGATCCTCCAGATTACAAGTCCAGTATCTAAACCATGGCAATATAATGATTTCCATACACAAAAAACAAAATAAATAAACAAGAGAACCAACAAATAAAGTGATATAACTCACAACAGTATGGTTTGTTTCCAGCTTCTTTTCCAGTCCGGTATTTACATTACTCAAAGCCCTCACGTCATCAGACAGCTGATCAACCTTGACCTTGAGTGAATCCCTCTCTGACTCTGTAGTGGACAGATCTTTAGTCACCTGGTGCAGCCTCACCTCGAGGTCACCGATGACGCTGTCCTTCTGCTGGAGGGTCAGAGAGGTCGACTGATGTGCCTGCTCCGAGTGCTCAATCTGTTGGCAATAAGTTTAAATTTAGAATATTGGTGATAGGAGATTAGAGGTTTTTTTACCTTCTACTTTCCCTCCCAACACCCAGTTCTGTCTGCTGTCTTGTTCTTTTGTGGGGCACTTCTTGATTCATCACAATAACCATGGGCTGGGTAGTAGTTACATGTAATGACTGAATAGACATTTCTCAACATTTAAAAAAAAGAAGAAAAAAAAACCCCAAATAACGCCAAAGTAAAAACAAAATAACAACAGGCTGAGAAAAAGGACATTTTAATAACAAATATCAAATCAAAACTGCATGTCAATGGAATGTCTGGCTTAAAAATCCTTCAGCTAGACAAGATCGCAACAAAAATTATGTTAACTTATTTCAGATTTCATTTAGTCAAAATAAAGCGAGAGAAAGAAGAGGCATAATGAAAGTAACTTTTATGCACAGAACAAAATTAGCCTTAAATGGATGACAGCTGATTCTGTAAATCAAAAAACATTTTTAGCTTACAAAGACTTTAATTCATATATTGCAATTACTAGAAATTAGTTCATTCAACATATGAGAGGTGCGCTGACAAAACAAGTTACTTCTCTCAATCAACAAATGGAGACATTCGCCAAAAATCGACATGAGGGTCAGATTTGTAGATTTTCTATTGATGCCATATTCTTTAAGTAAAATAAGCACTTTCATTATTTCATACTTGTAAATTGTAAAAACTTCAGAAATAAGAATGTATATTCCATAGGTCTCGAATCCGAGAATATCTCATTTTGTAAGCACCCCTCACATATATAACTTAAAATTTAGTTGTTAAACTGAAAAGTCAAAGAGGTTCACAAGTAACCTTATCACATCAGAATTGAACAATAGAATGACCCATGAAGTTTTCATAAGAATCTGTGCAAAAATTTCAACATTTATCAGTGTCCAGTAAGTCAGCCTCACCTTTCTAATGACCTCATTGACCTCTGCCCTTCTCCTGTCTGTCCTCTCCTTCTCCTGGGTCAGCTGAGCCTCCACAGAGGCCAGCTTCTTGAGAGTAGAAGCCTGGTCTCTCACCAACACTCTGTTCACCTCCATGGCAGCTGAATTTTCTTTCATCTGATTTGTATCACAGTAGAGTCAGAGGTCTATGTGGCTGTCAGTTTTGCTTTAAGTACATCTTATTTGAATAAAATCTATAAATCCAACCTAACAATTGATTGACTGGAAAACAAAAATGTCTTTAAAAAACAAATCAATTTTCTGATCTCACAACATTCATAAACCTGAAACAGCAATAGTAGTTAGGTTGTTTGAACATTCAAAGTATACATCTAAATCCTCGTTAAAAAGTCACACCCTATAAGAAATGAGTGTCACATCTTCTTGTATCCACTAATGTCAACCTTGAGCAGACAATAATTAAAATCATAAAAACAGTAAGAATTGCACTTAACACTAACCTTGAGTACCAGTTCATTAGTGATACGTGAGATGTCTTTCCTGCCCTGGCCATTTTCAGACTCCAGCAGGCCACACATCTTCTCAACATTTTTCTTTTCTTCCTCCTGTCTCCTTCAGAGATCAAAAACACATTCTGATATTGACAAGATGGTAAAGTGCCACAAACATACACCTGAAAGATTTTTTTCTAAAAAGACAGTCAACTTTTTGTCCAAAAAGTCAGTAAACAATTCAGAAACCACATCTTCCTTACCATATTAATGACAAAACTCTCTGTCTTTTTTTTTTTCCTCGTACAAGCCATCGAGACTTGTCAATAAAAAGTTCAAGGTTAATTATATAAGATCACTCTCTTTGTAATACTAAAAGAAATACAAGTAAAATACTGAGTATTTAGAGAGGAAAACTAAGGAACCTCCAAAACAGAGAATTTTATGTTTTTATGTAAAGAAAAATATTGTGGGACAACAGGGGCAAAAATTTGAGAATTTGAAAAGGAATTTCTAGGATGCTGAACAGAAGCATACCTCATTTTGTCCATTATGACACTGTTCTCCTTGTCTTTGGCAAAAGTCAAAAGCCTCAGTGTGTGCACTTCACCAATCAGCTGTGTCAACACAGAGAGAAAAACAGATGTAGGAGTATGTACCCACATTGAAACATCATTTTTGTATCCTCCACTTCACAGTTGTATTAACTGTCACTCTTCAAAATGACGAACATTATTTCGAGGGCCGCCAAGTAAACTACGGTAAGTCATATTTTTCTAATTTTACAGGAAAGACAAACAACAGATTTTCTTGAAGCCTCGTTTTGGGTGGATAAACTTCATTTTTACAAGGGGGCCTAAAAATGCCATGACAGACATTAGGCTCCCTTATGAAAATGAAGTCTATCCACCCACAACGTTTCAAGAAAATCCGTTCTTTGTCTCTCCTGTAAAATTTGAAAAACATGACTTACCATAGTTTGCTAGACCGCCCTTGATTTGTGCATGTCAGATACATATAAGCATGATGAAAAGTAACAAAACGTGTGAGAATAAATATTTACATGTGTGTATGTCTAAATGCTTAGGGTGTGGACAGGTATGATAAAGGGTGTGCACTGGGGTAGAACATAGAGAGTAAAGAGTGCAAAGATGCTAAATAAAATTCTCATAGCACATAACAGAACAAATGAAAAACTTTAAAAATCTGTAAAATCTCATGAGCTTTCTATTTGATAAAATGCAAGATTTTAACAAAGTAAAATATACTTTTCGCTTTTTTACTCATCCATCTCCAAAAATACACTTTTCCATCACCCCACCCCAGAATAATAGAAAGTAAAAAAAACAGAAGAAAATAAAAGTGGCATTCTTTCCCCCTTACCTTCTGCCCCTCTGGAGAGTCATCATGATACTCTGTGGTGAAGCCATCATATTTTGTCCTGCCCTCTGTCTCAAACTTGCTGACCACCTCTTGAAGAGAAGCCTCTGCATTGGCCAGGTGTACCTTACAGTTGTCTCGCTCCTCAATCCTCATTTTCTTCTCTTCTTCCAGTGTCTGCATGCAAAAAGTACAAAGACTCATAATCAAAACGTGTTTTTTTAATAAAATCATAAGGGCAATAATACTGACACCATTCTGTCATCCATTCTCACAAACTCTGTAGTTGTCAAGTTTATCTAGTATGATAAAAATGGTCAAAGTAGAAGTAGCACTTTTGAATGAATCTGCAATGGTATTTAAACATTCATGATGCAAATTCGAAAAGTAAACAAATGAACATGACTGGAGAAATGGAGATGTCATTCAAGACACTGAAAATTTTCCACCACATTGAACACACTTCTAGAATCTCTTTAAGACTTTGCAGTCACTTGGCGCAATAATGCGCCAGTGAAAATTGTCCGTTCCGGTCACCTGGCGCAGTTCTGCGTCCAAGAAGTCCGTTGCAGTCGCTCTCCTTCCTGGGAGATCAGATGGGGTATTTTGTACTGCTGGCTGTGTGACTGCAAAGCGTTAAAAACAATGGGCAAAAAGTATTCCCTGTCAGTTGTACACTACTCTCTATATCTGTGCCTTTCAAGTGTAAGTATACACAGCTGTAGACAAAAAGGGAACCCCCTTCATCATGAAAGACGCATATTTATGTGACAACAAAAATCAACCAAGACAAAATTGTACAATAACATTGCTGAGACAACAATCTGTGTCATAAACATGAGGACTCAAACTTACGAAAAAGGGAAGTAGGCAACTCTGTACTGCTGCAATCTCAAAGAGATTATATATAACACTAGAGCTCGTACCAGTGATGTCACATGTGTCAGACATGGGTGCCTTCTTACCCTCATTGGCAAGCCCCACCCCGCTCCTCATGAGCTCTAGTATACTAAAGACCACTCTGCCCCCATATTTCCGTGCAAGCTTGTAGATTTCCTCCTAAGACTGCCAAGACGCTTCCACGTGAGTTTCAAAAAGTACTCACCCATCTGTTGAACTACGCATGTCTTGCTCTTGAGGTTCAATGTCCCATAGTGGCCACACACAGCCCCCATTCGTTTATGAGGGGGACATCACTGCCACGAATTCTAATACTAAATATAACCTCTGCTACAATCCATACCTGAACTCTACGTTGTAAAACAGCTTGTTCATTGCTGGCCTGCGTGTTGCTGGCCCTAGCAGTAGAGGCTTCATGCTGTGCTTTGATGACTTCTGTGTTGAGAGACTCGACTTCCTCTCTCAGACTGACAGATGCAGTGACATTTTGCTGGTAGACAAAAGTGATGACAAATCATCAAGAAAGGCATAGAGTCTCTCAGATTTGTACTTATTTAATTGATATGTCGTACAAAAACTATACACTATTTTTTTTTAAATAAAGACAGACTAAGGAAGAGAAAAATCAAGTCATTTTAACTCAATTCACCCTGCGTTGTCGCGGCAGTGCTGTATTGTCCACCTGGCTTGCCCCAAGCCGGAGGAAAAAATCGGTCTGAACTCGACACACTAACCTTAGACACGTATTGTGCCCAAACTATTTAAGGTATCAATATGAAATTCGGCTTAGATTTTACTTAAAGTGTTTTTTTAATATTATTAGAGAGAAAGAGGAAGGAAAGAGCAGAGAAAACAATACATTCTTCGTCCCACTGCGACTCATCAGCACTCGATTTAGCCAAAGCAACTATTGTAAATCTATGGTCTAGATCTAGCTTTTCTTCGAAATTTTCAAGGCACTAAAATCAATCCTATCGCCTTGTTTTTCTAGATTTACGTCTACTTTCACTTTCCTTGCCGCTTATGTTTAAAACAAAACTAAAAACGTGGTTCATATACCTTAACAAACACAAAAATGGGCACTGTGGTTTTTTGTGGCTGTTTTTTTCTTCTTCTCGTCCATGAAGATTTCAGTGCTCACTTTCTTGCCATGATTTACAGTGGCAAAACAACAAAACTAACTCATACTTGGTGAAAAACTGGATCGAAACAAGCTAGCAAAAGTTTTTACAAGCTACAAGCGACCTATTATTTTCAATAGAAACCTGGATAAGTGGTTAGGACTCGATTTTGTGGACTGATATTTAGCTACAACTATTGTTGCTTATGCAACCTCATTTGCTCTGTGGAGATTAGCAAATCATATGAGTTTCCTATCCTCAGAGATCGCTAGAAAACATTGAAACAACTGAGATCTTTTGACAAAGATACATGAATAAAGTTGAAATGGCAACTAATCTAGACTCAATATCCTACAGGTACGCAGCTCCCCTCCTATGCAAAAGTATCTCAGTTTATTCCTGGTCCAAGTATGCTTGGTGAGTGGACAACTTTAAGTGTTCTTCAAAATATTATCCCTTTCCTGCTGACACCAGGGCAAGTGGAATCAACAGGCAGTCTTTATGGACAAGGCAAAAATTCTGAGCAGTAAAAAGTCGAAGGGGAACAGGCCTGAACAGCAGGAGCATGGACAATCTATTTACAGAATTTCCTTGGTACAGATTTCAAATTTCAAGATATTGCCAAGAATGTATCAGAAAAAGAGAGGAAAAAAATGTTTTTCATATTAATTGAAAAAGAGTTAAAAGAACAAACTTCTTCCTCTACCACAGGAAAGGAGAAAAACTAATTAAACTACACACTGACTAAAAACAATGTTAACTTCAACCAAAATCAAACCAGCACAAACACAATCCCTATCTCACCAGCAACTGCAGTTTCATCTGCTCTCTCTCCGACTCTAACTCCGACACTCTCAGGTCTGTCGCGGCAGCACTTCCTTTGACCCTTGACCCAGTCCCAGATTGGCCAGTCTCAGCCAGCTGGTCATTCAAGTTAGACTTTTGCTCCTCCAGCCACGAGATTTTCTCCTTAGCTTGTTGAAGCTCCAACTGAAGCACCTCTGTCTGGAAAGTAAATTGGTTCAAGAGAAGTTTTACAGCACTATCTGAACATTATTTATATTCACAGACCCTCGGCACAGAACCAGTAGAAAAGTAAACCACTCAAAAATGTTAACCCCTACACCATTTCACTTTTCAAAATCATATAAAGTAAATGTATTCATCTTTTGTTTGAAATCTATTTCTAGAATACGGTAGAGAAAGATATTATATTACCACATTCTGTAAAACCAAAGAGAGAAAGTCCCCACATTCTGGATTGAAAGCAAAACATCACATTACATGAGTGCCATTTTAAACCCCTTTTGGTATGCCTGGAAAATGTCTTACCTCCCCTTGCCTGTGGCTGAGCCCCTGATTCAGCGAGTGGATCATGTCCTTGACAAGTTCCAGCTGCTCCATCTGCTCTCCCTCCCTGGCAGTCATCTCATCCAGAACTTGACATCTCTCATCAAGCTGGCGCTGGATGGCAGAAATCTGTGGAGGGCAGCACATGATATCTGGGTAATGTTACAAATACCAATATTGTTCTTGCATGGATATTGCTATACATAAGGAAAAATGTTCCATATCTTCTTACAGCTATATCAGCCTATGAGAACAGAGCACAAACCAACTTACAATGAATAAGAGAGATCATGTTCACTTTGAAAAAGTCATTCAAACTTCCGAGATTTAAAAAAAAAAAAAAATTTTTAAACTATTCTTTGTATGTGGCACAAATAACTTCATTTCTATCAACATAATTTCACTTTACTTTTCACAAATGTAGATTTCACGAGTTTTTTACAATCCAGGTATAAAAAAAAACCCATATCAAGTCAACAGTTCTATTGAACAATTGATCATCGAAAACAGTTAAATAAAGTTACAAAGACAATTATCTGGTGCCCTCTAGATTTTGCAGAATCAGCATGACAGTCACTACTCTCATCATATTTTTCAGAGACCGCCAACTTGGCGTAACAAATAAACTCCATTCGCTTTTCTTGGCCATAGTCAAATCCAAGTTAAAGAAACAACTCTAAAGACAATTAAATTTCACATGGAAAAAGTTGAGAAACATTTACAGCCACTCCTCTCGTAATAATAAAGACATTTGTAGGAATCTCAATAAATACTATAATCGTTATTCTTGTCAAAAAGGGTATGTTAAATAGGTCTGACTAAAAGAGACTGTTTTTTAAACCACAAAACTCTTGTTGACTTTTACATAAATATTCAAGATCAAAGTGTGTTGACCTTGATTGTCGATGGGTAAATTCACTGGGCCATCACACTTGTACCCCAAACCCTATTAAGCAGATCTGACAAGTTGAATAAATATGAATGCTATACAAAACAAGTGTGGGTAGTTGGATGGGTGCTCTGGTGTGGTTTGCTTCTTCTATCTTATCAAACATCTATCATCCTTATCTCTCCTCCTTCTATTTTTGTGTTTGTTACTCTCTTGAAACACCCCTAATCATCAGCACTCATATTTATAAGTAATGAATAATAAATAGTATTGGATTAGCGCATATCCCCTCTAAACAGCAAGCTCTATGTGCTTTACACACTATATTATTACCCCAGCAGAAACATTCTCAGATTTTCGGGAAACATACAATGCAAGCAGCAAATTAAGCGCTCAAACACTAACAAACTAACTGTGTTGCAAGTGCTGTAAAACTTTCACTAAAAAAGTTTTTTAAAAGCCAAAGCGCACGGTACCTGAGCCTCCAACTCTTCCTGTGTCCGGCGCTGAATGGCCAGCTCTGCCCGGGCCTGGTGCAGTGAGCTCTCACTCTCGTTGTGCTGGGCACTCAGCTGTAGGATCTGACCGTCCTTCTGCTCCAGCTCCTTCTCCAAACCCTCCACCTGATGTTTCTGTACAAAAGAAAGGAATCAGGCATTTAGTTTACTCCCTTCACTTTTCCAGCTCCAGCAGCCACTTGAGAATGTATCCTTTCATATGAATCCGTGAAATTAAATTTACAAGGAATATTCAATTATCAAATACAGATTTATAGCTATGTGCATATAATCCAGCTCTGATGAAAGGCTAATATAATTTCATAGTAACTCTTTTGGGCGGCCAGTTTCATTCTAATTAATGAACTCAGTCCTCCTCGGGACATACATAATATAGCCTGCTAGTCCCATAGACCTATCATTCATACATTCCTAGTTTGGTTGACGACAGAGTACTGAGATTTCCATCTCATATACATACACAGTCCATTCTGTGACTGGAGGTCAAACAGTCTACCAAATATTCTTAAGTTACATAATCTCCCATAATAATATCTTCAACACTGCTGTTGTTGTACTAACTTGAGTGAGACTAGAACCCAGGTCTTGTTCTCTGCTTTTTTTCTTCGCATTTCTCAGCTGACTCCTGGTCTCCTCCACCTCTGACTCCAACCTGTGCTTCTCAGACTGAAGAGTTCCACACTTGTCACTTTGAAGTCGAATTTCTTCTTTCAGTTCGGCAATCTGTCAACAAAGTAAAAATAAATTCCCCTAAAAGGCAAGAGCAAGGGGATATTTTTGCAAATAAATTATAAGCAAAACAAGAAAAAAATTGTTGTCCTCAGCATCGCTTTTAAGCATTCTATCAAGATAAAGAATTTATCTTTTTCTAAGAATCTATTTACATGATAGCCAAATTTCCCTGAGAAGATAATGAAAGTCAAATTCTATTTATTTCTTCTTTACCTATCTGATGTGATACATATTTATTCTGTGATAGGTTGTAACTCCTGAATTTACAACAAGGCATGGAAAGTCTTAACTCTTTATCTCCAGCAAGCCACTGACAGGAGCTCGCGGTCGGAACAGATGTGACGGTGAGCCGCTTTTTTCAGGCACATTCCTTGACGACGACTTTGACATCAAATTACTTTTCGGCTATTGCCGAAAATGGGTCTCTTTTATCAGGATTTCATTCGTAAGATGAAGAACTATCAAAATAGGTTCACTTGTTTTGATTTAATGACCAATTTAGTAACGCTTTCGTCATTTTTAGATTTAGCACCAAAAAAAGGCCCTGACACATTGGGTTTACCCCATTCGGAGAAAAAGAGTTAATGTGTTCTGTACCTCCGTGGTGAGAGCCTGCAGTCTGTGTGCCTGGATCTGCTCCTGCCCTGGGTCTGACGCTGGTCCTAAGTGAGCAGCCTGCAACTCAGCTCGGAGTTCCCTCAGCTCCTTGTCCCGAGCCGACAGCTGGGAGCGCAGAGTGACCATCTCCGTCTCAGCCACTTTATTTTTGCGGGTCAACTGACCCACACGAGCTTCCAGGCCTGAAACCTCCTCCTGTAGAGCTTCCACTTGGCCTACAGGTGATTGAGAAAGGTGAGGGGGTGGAAGAGAAGAGGGAAGTTGGGAGTAAAGGAAAGAGAGAGTCTGGGAGAGCAGTATGTGTCCCAAATTGATGGAATGTACACCAAACATAGAGTCTGTTGACTGAACATCATTCACAAACCTGTGCTCATTTTGAGCACATAACAGCATCTCTGCATTTTTGTTATCTCTTTAAGGAAAATGGACAATTCAACAAAAATTATTTCTTATTCCCAATATTCACTACAAAGTTATATGAACTGGTCAAGCAAAGAAGGAGGAGCAAATTGTATGGATTGAGTCAAAACAAAAGTTTGAGCATGAGTTAAAATTATACTTAGATCAGACTACACATAGCTAACAATACACACTGGAAACTCGTGTGCATAAAAACACCAAAACTTGTAAAAACCGCCTCAACCAACATCTCTGGAAAATGTTGAATTAGTGGAAGATATGTAGATGCTGTCTTATTATTGTACCTCAGAAGACTTTAAAATTGACTTTGTTATTAATGTCTTTACAGTCTTTACCTGTGGAAGCAGCACCAGGCCTGACCTCCATATGTCCAGAAGTGGTTGCCAGCCCCTCCCTTAGAGTCTCATTCTCAGCTCTCAGAGCATCCATCAGGTCATTTAAAGTCTGGAGTCGAGCAAAAGCGTCATGCCTCTCCTTCACCAGTTCTGTCAATTGCCTGTTAAGTGAATTCTGACCTCAGTAAATCCACACCACCACAACAAAGATCCAACAACATAACAACTCACACAACAATGCTAATCAAAAGTTCCAAACACATTCTTTATAATTCTAGCCGGCTCAAGTTACAAGAACATCAATTTCACTAGACACATGTTTAAAGGACAGTCAGAAGATTTTAGGTCAACATTCAGTCTTCTTTTCCTGTTTGGTATTAAAGACAAGTTTAATGTTGGGCTTTCTGTTTTTGCTGTTTTCAGTCACAGGCTCTTTGTAAATATTGCTCAAAAACAATCAATAAAATAAGCCACTCACTGTTTGTATGTCTGCTCCGCTGTGATCCTCTCAGCACTGACATCCTCAATTCTTTCCTCAGTCTGAAGCATCTTTGCCTCGTACTCTTCCTTCATTGCAAGAGCACTCTACACACGTAGGGTAAGGGAAGAGAAGGAAAAGGAAAAGTTAATATTTCAGAAACACCTACCATTTAAAAACAAGTAAAAGCACTAAGCTACCTAAAAGTTCAGAGGAGGTGAAGTAACAGTATGGGCACTGAAGGAAAAGTAGAAACAACAACAGCCTCTGGACAACAGACAAAGTATAGATATCTATAACATTTGTAAGTACATACAGGATAAGCTTCATTTATAGGAAGCAGCTACAGATATGCATGAACAATAGCTTTTCGTGCATGTTTTATCTCAGCCTGAAGGTGAATCAGTTTAGCTTGTCTGATATGATAAACTTATAATGGCTAAGCTGTTCAGTCTATTAAAGAAAAATCTCAAACTTTCATTCAGGGCCAAGCAGCAACAAAAGTCGCTCCTGTGACATCTAAGTACAGCAGGACAATTAAAATGTGAATTATTGCTGATACATAAATAAAAACTTGCAAACTATTTTCAATATATCAACTCATAATATTAAGAGAAATGAAAAAATCACAAATTCAGCAACCATCTCATCTTTTCCATTTGTAAGAGATAATTTCATCCCTAATCCTTATCCCTGACTGATGACTGTATACGAGGCTGAAGACCATTCTGCAGTCTAACTACAGGCTCAGTAAGGAGACAGTAGAGGGTAGGATGGTACTTCTGGTTTCATGGGGGGTGGGGGAGGAGTTACTACAAAGTCCACACAAAAATCCTTAACAATTCAGAGAAATAACAAAAATGTAACACCTCAACAATTCTACGAAAGGAACTTCAATTAAAAATTATCAGATAACATCGCTCATTCATTTCAGAGACTCACTCAAAGCCATGTATTTCAACTGCAGACAAATAACTTTGAGAAAAGAAGGACATCTCATCAAAATTCCATTCCAAAAAAGCTTCCAAACCCAATGTCCATGTGACCAGCAGATAATAGTTCACTGGCCAAGGATGAAAATTTATATTACAAAGATTATTCCTAGAAGCAGCCCCCATGTGATTTTTCATCATACTTTTGTTAAATGTTAGGGACGAAGATCACGAATTATTTCCAAATTTTTGGTCACTCTATGCGAGGAGTTGGGAATGAGGGTTGTGTCCTGCCCCCCCAGGACAGCCTGGCGGGGATCTAGAGTAAGCACCAAACAAACTTAACACTAAGACTAATATGCTCATTATTTCTAACATCAGAACATCATCATCGCCACCATAAATAATCATCATCATGATCACCATCACACTTACCATTACCATTACTGTCAACTTCACCATCATCATCACCATCATCATCATCATCATCATCATCACCGACTTAACAATTCCCCTTTTCTTGTTTTTTTTTTTTTTAGAAAACATAGCAATTTGCATCATGTCAATACATTCTTACATAACCAACAAATATGGGCACCAAAATCAATACACGGGACAAAAAAAAAAAATTCACTGGCCAAGGGTGAGCAAGCCATCTAGATCTCCACCAAGGAAGAGCAACAGGGCACACTACCTGTAGCCCTGAGGAGTCGTCCTCCCCCTCTGGGAGATCTAGCTCCTGCAGGTACAGCCTCCACTCCTTCAGCTGTTGCTGTAGATCCTGCCGCAGCTCCCACATGTACAGCAGGAGAGCGTCTTTGTTCTCACTGTCCCCCGACAGGCCGCTCTCGGTTTCAAGCTGCTGCAGGATCTGCTTGATGTCGTACGCCGGCTGTGAGTGAGCCAGTGAAATACAGGGCATGCAACGTGAGTGAGACATGCAAAACAAACCAAACAGTGACAGGCTGAGAATACATTTGACAATCTTGTAATCTGAAATTCAGTGCCCTGCTCATGAGGATGATATTGTGCTAAGGTTACATTGATGGTGAAAAAGGTGTGTGTAGGCAACAAAAATAGTTTGGGTTCTGGAAACTTTACAAAAATAGAAAAAGAGATTAAAAAAGAAAAAAATGAAACAAGTTCACCTTACATATCAGCATGTTGAGAAACCAATGAGCGTTATTTCTAGTGAATGCAAGGTGAGCAATTTGCTGGTAAAGCATGCACTAAAAAAGGCATATATCATAAATTAGACTCTAGAATAACTACATCAATATCTATTTATGTTAAGCCATGAATATGTTATATTTGAGTACTGTGCCTTTACTTTTAGAAAGGAAAGAGAGGAATGTCTGTGAAAATTAACATTAAATGAGAGGGTGAGAAAATATATATTTTTATTCACCTAAGAAGTGATCATGAAATGAAAGCCAATAAAGCAAAACAAACAGAGTGAAGTAAATAAGGTTTGTGAGCATAACAGCATGAACCAATATATATATATATATATATATATATATATATATATATATTACATGCACATATGTCAGTGCATCTTCTTAAAAATGCTTGTCAAATAAACTGTTCCTGATCGTGAATTTATTTCATTATAATAAGTGTTTCATCAGAAACAGACTTTATAACAACCGAAAAAAAAAAATCCATTTCATCAACAGAGACAAACGAAGAAGAGACTCAGACACACAAAAAAAATGTAATTACACATCTGCTACAGACCAAAGTGAACTCCCAGAATAGAGTGATCAGTCTTGTATGACATAGCAAGTAACAAATTTTCCTGCACACATTTCTATTCTTCACAAAAGCGCCAGTGAAACATGTCAAGAGTAAACAGAAAACAAATTGCAATACACTCGGTTAAATTGGTGACATGACACAGTGAAAGCGTGGAATATTATTTAACAATTCTTTTTGTGTAAATCTGAAACAATGCGAAGTGGAAAAAAAAAACACCTTATAAAAAACCAAAGTCGTAAAAGCCAACTATATAGTTAACCTCACCTTCTTGCCATCTTGCCGTTGTGTGGAATGTCGACTGTATGGAATGTCATAGTTCTTCTCATCTTCATCAGGCATCGCTAAACGAAGTTTGAGATTGTCTTCTCTGAATTCTTGTACTCTCAGCTCCTGACCTCTAGACTTTTCTCGTTCCCGTTTCAACTGTCTTTCCAACTCTTTCTCTTTTGTCTGTTTATAAAACAAATCAACAGCCATCACTGTATGATCTGAACAAAAACACCATTTATTTATTTTTTCAATTAAATAAATATCTGGGAACATAGCAGTTTAAATGCAATAATAGACACTCTTGAACAAAAACCCAAATCAACAAAGATTTCAACTATAGAATCCAGTTAGAAGTACAATTACAATCAAGAAATGGTTCTGTATGTTAGAACAAAAAGAATCTGACTGCATAAATACATGTCCCATCAAATAAACAAATTGATTGCCTATACGTATTTTCGAGTTCCTCTCATTACATTCAAAAGAGAAACATTGGCACAATATTTTAAAATCGGTGAAAAAAATAACCTTGTCATTCAACTATTTATATCAAAGTTGAATCAAACCAAAAACCCTAGCCAGGAGCACTAAGACAATGGCTACAACCACAAAACTCAAGACTGTCAGGGTCGACAGGAACTTATCCCTTTTCTCAACTACTAGACTGATGTGCTCCCTTGCTACGTTCATCTTTTTGCATGCTTTCAAGTCAGGAACAGTAGACAATGACAGGCAAACTTGAGATGAAGAGTCAGAGTATGGAAATGACATGTTGTCAAAGACTACTGGGCGTGACCAACAAAGATTGCATCAGTAATGCAAAACTTATGGAAAGAATTCAGTGAGATGGTGGGCCTGGGGCAGTACTTGCTGTTCACTGTCAAAGGACGCAACCTGTATTGGCTCGTGCAAGATTTCTTAGACTAGCAAAGATTGTACTGTAGGGCACAGTACGATCATAATGAGGCAGAGGAAAAAATGGGAGGAAAAAAAGAGTTTCGACAGGTCTGAAAATATATGAGGCTCTGAACAAGTACAACTTTCAAAAGAAGCGGAATGAGATTAATGGAAAGTCATCCATGGCACCCCAGTAATCAACAAGACTATGAGACTGATTACGAAGATGATCATAATCAAATTTAGCAAACCTGTAGCTTGGCGTTTTCAGTGAGCAGTTTCTCTTCAATTTGAGACAAATTCCCAGCACGGTCAGCCCGCTCCTGGGTCAGGCGCTCTTCTGTGAGCCGGAGTCGCATTTGGAGAGACGCAGCCTGCACATAGGATGAGGCAAAAGAATAGATAAATATAAAAAAAACAATTTCTGAACAAAATATGGAGCACAACCTGCAAATCTTTTCAAATGAAAAATTCATAACTTTAATGTTATCAGTTATTCAATTCTCTGGAAGACAATAAAAACTCTCTGCGTGAAATCTGAATATTTTTTAACAGATCAGACCTATTGTTATGTTGAATGTGAAAGTGATCTGGAACAGGTGAAAAACAACAGTGCTTTAACACTTTGCCCCCACGGGAAAACGATCAGTGACGGTGTGATATAGCATGTACCGCACCTGTATCCTGGTCCGTGGGGATAAGTGTTGCGCGCTCCATGCGCTGTGTGGGTGGATAGTGTTAATTGCATAAAATATTCAGCCTCCAAAAATATAAGCAGAACCCAGAGGAAATTTTAATCAATCACCTATGAAGTTAAAAGTACTTGTCAAAAGGAATTCCCTTATATCTTGGATGTTCCTACTAAATATTTCTCGAAAAAGCAGCTTGATATGCTTAAAAAAACATAGACTATACTTTTAAACTGTACACTATTGAATGCAATTAGCAAGAAAACACTAACACAATAAAATAAAGCAATGATCTTTCCTTAACTCTCTTCGGACGGTTCACACAACAGTTGCGTGACCCCCGCCGCGACGCTCGCGACGGCTCCCACGAGCCTTGCGTGACCAACTTTTGAATTTTTTTTTCGCTCTACAAATCACGCACGGATCGCGGAACTCGCCTCGTACCCTTGTTTGGCCAAGCCTGAGCTACTTAGACTTCGTTTCGTATCTCTGGGTCCCATAGTTTTTAAGTTATTGAAGGTGAAGGACAGTGACCCCAACTGGGGTTGAACTGACCGAAACTCGCCCTTTGTTTCTTTCTATACAGCTGATAGTAATCCGACAGTCGCGTCATAGTAACGGTCGAAGAAGTCGCATGAACAAGAATCACATAATTTCACCGTTTTCGATACTTCTGTACGTTTTACTAGTTCTAGAGTTTCAGAATATGATGTGTCTGATAGTTAGGATCCTGGATATGTACCCAAACACGGCCCGAGTCGTAGTTTTAGGGCTAGATCTAGCACTAGTACTGGTGTTGCTGTTCGCGCAACGAAATCACAACGTCGTGCCGTACAACTGTCTCATGTAATTCAGTGCACGGGTCTGAATCAATGCACAGACTAGCTTTTATACTTTCACCAAACACTCACACATGCATACAAATCAAAATACAACACTCTGAACTTTTATTTTTGCTGTTGTTGTGAATTTCATTCTATCTGTCATGTCTCTGGAAATTTTTCGGAAAATCAAATTCGTGCCAATTTTTAAAAAATCATATAAATTAAAGTATTAGACTTAGACAACTTTAGTTTGTTGTGTTAGATTAAGCTTGAATGTTACTTTACTGTGTCAAAAAATAATTACAATAGGGTAATTCTGAGAGTTGTGGTGATTTATTGAAATACTCTGAAAAACGCCAGTCTTCAACGCTTGTGACTGGTGAAAGGGCCCAGTAGTAAGTGAGTTAAGCTGTTTTTATCGTACCAGAATCTCTCGGAAACTTGCTGTTTATTGTTCCTTCAAATTTTCTGATGTTAGAAAAGAATTCTGCTCCTTAACCACAAAACAATGAATGTTAACCCTTTGAGCCCTTGCCACCAGTACACCGAAGGCACATAAAACTGTGCGTATGCCTAGCCGCCACCCATAAAGCGGTGAGCGAGACCCAATCCCCAACCTGGCCCGCCCGAGACAAAAAGCATATGGAAAACGTTTACTGCACAAGTAAATTGATTAATTTGAAGATCTTTCTGAATTAGAAGCTGGTAATGACAAGGACTACCCTGAGTGGGATATGAAATGTGATTCTGACGATCATATTATGAATGTTAGTAATATATCATACAGGAGCTGAGGCAGAGGGGAGCCTTGGGAGATCAGGGCTCAAAGGGTTAAGGATTACTGATTAAAACAACCAACGTCAATGCAGATGTCCCACCTGTTTCTCTGCAGCAGTGCCACCAGTCCCCCCTTCCTCAACTTGCAGCTGAAGTACATCTCTTATCTCCATCAGCTGCTTGATTTGGCCACTCATTTCTTTGGTGCGGGCACATTCTGCCTCCAATGCTTTTTCACTTTCTTCAAGGAGGTGCTTGAGGTGTGATATTTCCTCCTTAAATAAATATGTTACGAGCTATTCAGAACAAGTCCTAAACACGATTAGCAGGACAACAAATGTGCTGAGATGTTGGGAAATCTCATCCTTACATCAAATTTTATTTACTGTCAGTGAAAAAATGAATTGATACACAAGCAAATACAACAAATTTCCCATAGCTTCTGTGTCAGTTTTCACAAATTATAAACATATTAATTATACTTGTGTGTAGAAATTCTAAAAGAGAAAAAAAAAAAGGAAAAGAAACATTGAATCAAATACTTTAAGAACTCTATCGATTTATGATATAACAGTCAAAATTATCTAAAACTGTACCCATTGATGAGAAGGAAAGTGACCATCTTAAGACAGGTGGATGTCTTACACACTATCATTATTATGTAAAAAAAAAAAACACTAGGGGGCGGGGGAGATGTGAAGAGACTGTCTGTAAAGCAGGTTCGACGGGATCTAAACAAAAGCTATCAAACAGAGTAAAAATACTGGTCTTTACTGCTCAGAAATGAAAGATCATCTCACTAATAATAATTTACCAGCAGCCACCACTGCTTGCTGAGTGATGGTGGAGGGAGTGAAGATGTAACCCTAATCATCATCATCAAAATATGTATCATTATCATAAGAATTCAAACTTTTAGTTCTATTATTGTTATTATTACTATTTCAAATATAACCATTATTGTTATTATTATTGTTGTTGGTTTATATAATAATAATAATTATTATTATTATTATTATTATTATTATTACTATTATTATTATTATTATTATTATTATTGTTTATATCATTATTATTACCATTATTACTATTACTATTTGTGGTGTTATTATGTTTCATATGCAAACAGATTGAGTACCCTTCAAGCCAACTACAAAAATGTCATAAAAGTCTGCTTTCCAAAATTGGTATACAGGACCTATGTTATAAGTTGAGATTCTTTCTAGATGCACGGCTGGATCCTGAGTTGGCCTAACTTCCACGGTTTACAAAGAGGCAAACAAGAGGTTGCTTACTTGCTATCATTGTGGTCAAATACATGCAACAGTATTCAGAACTTGTACTCACTTTTAGAGCACTAGATTCCTGACTGTATGCTTCATGGATCTTAGTCTTATCAGTGTTTTCCTTTATAGTCTCGACCTCTTTTTTTGCACTGTTCAGTTGCTGTTCAAGATAGGTCATCTGCAAAAGCAAAAAGGTCGTAAAACTTTGAGCATTTCAAGGTAATTGAGGTGGAAATAGAAAGACTTCTGTATAACCATTAAAACAAAAGGCAGTATCTTCCCTTCACAATCTTTAAGTAAAAGAAGCTGCCGATACCTACAACATTATACAATATTTTAAAAAACAAGAAATCAAAACTGTAGACAAAGAGAGCAAAATAATGGGGGTTTTGCGATGAGCTCCAGTAAGAGACAACATTTCACAAAACTCGTTTACTCATATGGCCACAGAGCTGTAACAGTACCTAAAGAGATGCATTACTAAAAACTATAAAATGAACTATCACTGGACAAGATTAAAAGGAAGCTATTCCAACAAATTATCAAAGAAGCTGAAAAATAGAACATTTTAGGCAAACTGCACAATACCATACAAACAAAGTTAATTAGTTAAATTAATGCAACTCCTTGCTGAAAATCTGAAGCAGTAAAGGGAATTGCATCTCAGTATTTGCGTACCTGCGATTTTAATATTTCTCCTTCTTTGATGGCTGAGTTTGCCTTAATCTGCTGCTGCTCTAGTTGTCGTTCAAAGTCACTGCGCACAGAGCGAGTCACTCGGCTTGTCTCTTGGTCAATTTTCCCTTGTAATTCTTCTAACTCATCTTTGTTTTCTTGCAAATTTGATTCCAACTCAGACACCCGAGCTGAAGGAGTAGGGGTACGGGAGACAAGCAAAAAATATTGTGACAATCAAAAATCAGTAAACAGTAAAAAAGAAAAAAAAAAAGTACTGAGCTAAGAGAATTTTAAGTGAAAATGCTTTAAAATGGACAGGTATTTGTAATGTGCGGTAACGCAACAAAAAAGATGTAACACTTCTTTTCAAAATTAATATTCCTTAATTTCATAAGAGATTGATGCCTCAACAAAGTTTATCTTTCCACACTACAGCTTCAGTGATTTCAGAATACTGAGAAAGGAGCTTCTGAGTGCATTATGTCAATGTATGAACAATTTCCTCTAATATAGTATTATATTGCTGCTCCTGCTAAATGGTAGATGGGAAAAGGAACAGACACTCCCTGAAAGAAAAATGTTAAGACATAAGCAAATTCTTCAACAACAACAACAACAACAACAACAAAATAAAACGTACACAGTTCATGGAACGTCAGTGTCTTAGAAAAAAATATAAGTTCAATTAGGCTATTCTCAGGATTAACATCAGTCACTTACCGACAGATCTGTTATATTTGTCTTTAAGGAGTTTGTTTTCCATCTGCAGCGTCGAATTCTCTAGGCTTAGCTTCCTCATCTGACTTTCCAGCATCTCCTAAGACAGGTAAGTTCCAAATATTCATGAAATGTTCGACACTCTGAAAATCACTTTAATGTTTATATCATATGCAAGTATAATATTGAAGTAGTCCTTAAAGTAGATGACGAAATCAAATAGGAGATAACCTTAAAAAAAATTTGTTTCATCATCAAAATAGAAAGTAGTGATCTCATATATACACACATAAATGAATAGGATTTGACATAAAATATTTACATGTTAAACACTTCACCCTATACAATAGGCCTTTTAAAAATAAAACAGATGCTATGATCTTCATCACTATAGACATCATTTGCATATATATCTGCATTTGTCTACCCAAAATTAACAATTTATTTGCAAAATATTAAAGATGCTATGATCAAAAAATGGGAAAGCCATTGTAACAAAAATTCAGTACTTCAGCCGGTTTTACATTTCTGAAGATTTTCTTAAATCTTCAGAATACTTTTGTTACTTTTCAACACATTGCTAATGACAACTGGAGTACCTTTTCCACAAGAAAAGATTTCATATCAGTCAATGACCCTCTTAATGCTGCAGTGGGAGTGGCTGATCGCGATCTCTGTTGACTGTCACCGGCTGTTGGAAGCTGAAATAATTACAAAATTGGTATACAGCTCAAACTGTGCTGTCATAGTAACATAATATATGATGTAAATGGTTAAAAGCTAAACTGAAGCTACTAATATTCTATTATTACTTTCATTGAAACATCGCACACAAAAATAGGGTATATCATCATATAAACAGCAAATATAAAGGAGTAATTTCGTTTTTTTATTTAAAAAGTAAAATCATGAAAAAAGTAGCCTACATTAAAACGAGTTTACACCTTTTTCAAGAACCCAACAGACATTTAACTGTAAAAAGTTTAATTAAAAATTAATTTTCTCTACAACAAACTCATGCTTTCATGAGACTTAAGCACTTAGCCTTACAAATGTATTCATTAATTTGTGCTGCTAAATGAGACATCGAGAGAGTGCAAACCTTTTTTCTCTCTATGTCACAATGCGGAGGAATCACTGTAGGCGTTCGTCAATGTTTGGGCATGTGAAGTTATTGATATAATCTTAACTCATTCGCTACGTATTATTTTCAGCTTGTGGACAAATTTTTTTCGGGAAGGTGAAATGAGATGATGACTAGTGCGCAGTTCAAAGGTCTTTGGGGCCACAAATTCAAATAAATATTGACATTTTATACATCGACATTTCAGTATGATTTGTAGAATAGATCTGTAATGTTTATTTGTCTATTTTTCAACTTTGGTTCCTGTAAGAGGCGATTATGCAACACAATTTTGCTTGGATTCGGATAAAATTTAAAAATAAAACATTTACCATCTTCGGTGAAACTCAAAAAATATGTTTGCACCGAGTCAAATGATACATCAAAATAACCATAAATGAATATAGAACTGGAAAATATTTAAACATTTGTAGTTATTTATATACATTCCATAAAGTTTGCACTTTTGGATCATGACATCCGACATTGAAAAAAAATAATTTTTATTTATAATCTTGAAAAATGGACAAGATGCATTCCCGAACAGAAAAAAACACCCGTATCATATATGGAATTATTCAGATTTGCATTTGGAATAAACCTACACATGTCTTGAGTGGTACTTTTTGTGTAATTTCACCTAAAAAATAGTGATATTTTGGAGAAAAATATAATTTGACAATTTAGATCTAGAGATGTAGATCTAGCACTGAAAAATATTGATTTCTCAATAACAGAGCAATGGCAATTTGAGCCCAATCGTATCAATATTCTAAAGAAGAGTCCTACATTTCTTTAGTGTGCAAAATAATGATATATTTTGTAGTGTAAAAGTAGTAAGACTGGTGTCTGGGCTATAATTTGACCATCGCGATAAAACAAAGTCACATAAACTTCGAAATCGTGTTTCAAAACTGAATCAAAACTTCCGATTTTTTGTGAAAACGCTAATTGCCCCAGAAGTCAACATTATATTATAACCTTTATTTTAACATGGATATGTGGATAGCAATAGAATCTAAGCTAAAATTGAAGATCGGTTCTCGAGCTGCCGGGGGCGGCTTAGCGTACTGACGGCACTTTAGCCGCGCCGCCCCCCACGGCTCGGCGTAGCAAATGAGTTAAAACTGGCTCATTTGTCTATCTTTCGATGAGAAAAATAATCATCTGTCTTGAATAGAAGTCGAGATATTTGATCTTGAAGGAGGGAGGGGTCGCATGGTAAAATTATCAAGAAAATGGTCGAATGGTCGTCAGAGTTTGGTGACTTCCAAAGCTTTAGAGTCCTTGGAGACTGCAAATTTACATCTGATCTTTTGTGCCTTTGATCAACACTTTTCAATAAAATTCACACATGTTGACAAATGTGTTTTTGAAAGGATGTTGAGCCAAAAAATACAAATTCAATAGAAATTGCTGAATGGGAGGAAAAATGCCAGTTTCTTCCATTTCATTATTTTGACAAGTGCCAGATTTCAGCACTCACACATGCCTTCTTAATAGTAGAATTGAGCTCCTACTTTACAAAACTAGAGCACACTACATTGCATTACAATGTTAAAATTAATGTGCTGCTTGCAGACATTCCAAAACCGTTGAACAAACATAGGCCTACCCCAGCAGAAGAAACAGGTCCCTGATGCGCCATGCTTACAGCTGAGTTGAATCCTGGAACGAAAAAAAGGGACAGAATAGAAATAAAATGAATATATTTTATTACACAGCATGTACTTAAATTGTTGTGATATAATATGAGCTGAAAGTATTAACCAGTTTCTTTCATGTTCATGTGAAAACTGCATGTTTAGCAACACAACAAACGGAGACACATGATGCACTTTGACAGGATCATAAAAAGGGTATTAAATAGACCCGTTATTCAAGCATTACTAGTGAATAAAAATGGTATGAGACTATTTTGGTTTCACTCAAAGTCAGGGAGCCAAAATCACACAGTAGTGAGAAAATCAAGATTTTCACCATTCTTGGAACAGCTGAGAGTGACAAGCACTGCAGTTCATCTTGTTGAATTATTACACATATCTTTTTCTAACAACTTTTATCACCAAGCAAGGTTTTTGGCTTATTGTTCAACATTGTATAAGATATTAAAAGTGAAGCATATGATAGCAATGCCAATCGGGCTTTCCCGCGCGGCGAAAATTTGGTCTCCGTTTACGGGCGATTTTGCGGACCCGGCCGAAGCGTAGGTGACTAACTTTGTCAACCTCAGTCTGCTCTATTTCCGAACCAATCCGAATGAAACTCGGAAACCAATCAGAAAATAGGGCAAACTAATGATATGTGGACGTTGAAGTTCGTACACATAAATTAACCTATACTTTTGGTGTCAGGAACACTTTCGTATCGTGTACACCAAAAACTATAAGGAGTTTGAATTTCAACGCCGAGATGGTAATAGATCTATCTATGCTGCCGACATATATTCTTAAAGATCTCATGTTGTGATACGATGCTATAAATAAAATGGACTCATCCCCACACCCCTTTTTCGCAAAATCGTAATATGTACACCAAAATTTTAATTATAACAAAATAACTACGAAATTGGTAGTAAATCTGACTGCAGAAATGATTTCCAAACTCAAAAACACATCGGGTAGCCAAGTTTCTCTCGAACACTCCGATTAGTTACCGAGATATCGTCGATTTTCTTACAGAATCTGCTACTGCGTGGTCCACTCTTTAGGAGTATTTTCCTATGTGGGTCATCCATATTTTGCCGACCTTTACAACCCCATAACTTTTTTATTTATGAACCGATTCTTAAAAGTCAAGAAGCATAATTCTTAGAATTGAAAATTATTTCTTAGGTAGGGGCCTACCAAAATAAAAAGGGCTAAAGTGAAAATTTTAATTTTCATTAGCATTGCTACCTATGACAACATTTTTAATAGATCATGTACGGAAAAGCAATATGATCTGTGAAAAAAGATTAAGTCGTACACCTCTCGATGTACACCTCCGCCCATTAAAAAAAATCTGCCATATCCTCCCACCATAAACCCCTCATGAACTGACTTAAATTAGGTGTCTGCCTTAAAACTTATTCTAGGCCTATCCAATGATTATAAATACCATGATTATAAAATGCGGTAAAAAGTGTGAGTGGGCACGAAACACTGGGGGAACGGGCCAGCGCTTCAACACCTGACCTGCTTCCTTCAGTGTGCACCTGATGCAGCCAAAGCGGCTTGTTGTTCCAATGTTAGAGGCCATTAAAAAGCTTTAAGTATGTTGGTTTGAAGATGAAGGCTTGTGTGTGACCAAGGCCAAAACAACCAGACGGTTTTAGAACTAAGTTAGTATTATCCCTGAAAAGCTTTTTTTTTCCTCATGAGGGTGGTAAAATCAGTTTTTAACTTGTGGAAGTTGTTGGTTTGCTTGAAGTAGGTAGCGTAAACACGGCCTCGCGGGCACTCGCGGCCTTCCGACCGCATGGTATCGGTGAAATCGGGGTAATTCCGATCGCTGTTTCTTTGCTCTTTCGCTATAAAACACTAAGTGCCGTACACCTTGTAAAAGTTCAGCTTTTCCTCGTTACAATGGTGTAAGTTGTTTTTATGTCCGATTATTAGGAGCTGGAGAATCGCCGACGAAAGCGAAGCCCCTCGCGGTCGGAATGCGTGGTCGGCCGGTCGAAAAATTGACACGGGTGCATTCAAATGCTTCGCGGAACGAGGAATGATTAAATACCGTCTTTTCATTGGCGGAGAACTGTAGAACTTTAAACGGGCTTTCCCGTGGTATGTGTTTTGCCTTTGGCGTCTAAATAGAAATCTTTTAAAAATACTGTCAAAATGTTTAAAGATCACTTTTTACCCATAATATGTAAAATACCGGCTTAAAAAATATATTTAATAAAAGATCAGCTTAATTTCCTACTAGAATAAAGTAATTAGTTTGGAATTATTTTTCATCAATCCTTCCGCGAAACTCAGAAAGCATGTGACCCCGCACGCGGGGTACACTACAGTATAGAGCCGACTCGCTCGCCGCGGGGCCCGGTGCGACGCCGGCCGGGTCAACGCTCGGTGTTTTTGTTGAAATAACGACAGATCACCGTGTTTGGGGCGATAAAGTACTTATTTGAAATGATCTCACAGTCTTGAAAAATATTAGGCTCCATATATTTGTTATAATGATTGTACTCTGTTAATGTGGAGATGTTTAGTGCTCTTGGTACTCTTTTATTGTCTGTCAAACATGAGGTTGCAGCCAGTGACTGACTTTAACAAATTTGATCAAATTTTAAACAACTACCATTTTCTTAATAATTGACTGAGAGGTTAAAGAATGGTATCAAAATGCTCAGTGGATAGAGGCCTTTCAAATGGAGCTGATAAATTTGGCATACAACTACTTTGAAAATTTAGTTTCTGGTACCTACTTGAAGTTGTTTTTTAAAAAAACAACACATTTTAAGCCTTTGATAAGCAGAGTGCACATTAGACAGATAATCTAACGTTAAAAATGCTCTAAGAGCCAAATGAAATTAAAGTCAAAGGTGATTAACATGCAAATGCCACACAGTGGACTATGAGTCAGTGTATTTGTTGTAGTCAGACTGCATGATGATCTTTATGGTGCAGCCAAAAATGTGTGGCACAACTTATCCTCAAATATCTCTTCAACGGGTGAATCAAAGTAACCTAAACTTTGCCCAGCAGTCTGTATCAATTTGTCTTAACTTATTCTCCTATTCATATTTTTCCACAACAATTGAGGCTAGATTTTTTTAAGGCTGATGTTAGGGGACCCTACGCCCCAATAGTGCTGGGCGCTAGGGGACCGTACGCCCCAATAGTGCTGGGCGCTAGGGGACCGTACGCCCCAATAGTGCTGGGCGCTAGGGGACCGTACGCCCTACCTGCGCTAAGCTGTCCCCGTGGTTTTATGCACCCCGCATAATTTAGCAAAAGTTGATCATTTTTTTGCATAATTTCTGATTATTTTTCTTTATCATTTTTTGTTAAAATTAACAGAATTGCAAAATTTCACATTTTTGGGTTCAGTTTGCATAATTGTGTGGAAACGTGCTGGAATGAGGCTCTCGTCAAAATAATCAAAGTGAAGAAACTTGCATTTTTCCCCACGTTTGTGAATTTTTATGAAGTGTTTTGTTTTTTTTGGCTCAACACCTTTCATGCCCATTAAAGAACTCATTTCTGTGTGGATTTTCCTGAAAAACGATTAAAGGCACAAAGAATGTAAATGTTCAGTTACCACGGACTCTTAAGCTAAGGAAATAACTAATCTTTGGCGCCCATTTTCTCACTAATTTTACCTTTGAAAACAGGTGACCCCCACCTCCTTCTTTGGCAAATATCTCGACTTGTATTCAAGGCAAATGGATATTTTTTTCATCCAAATAAAGACAAATGGACAAGCTTCAAGATGATACCAATAACTCTACATGCTCACAAATTGACGAGAGCCTGATTCCACCACACTGCATCACAATTTCAGATTTTTTTGTGTTCATAAAACCGCGGGGACAGGCTAAGGCTTGGTGTTAAGCGAGCGTACGCAGATGTGCATGCATCTGGACTTTGCAAAATATTAGAGGAAAAGACCCAGTTTAACGAAGCTCCTAACGTTAGGAGTTATACTAGGAGAGTGTTTACTTGAAATGTCTGAATACGATTGTGAGGTATCCAGTGGCGGTGGGCAAACCAAAATTTAAAATTTTCTCTCGTCTGCACCCACGTTGTTGTTAAGTGTCAATAAAAGACTCCAGAGAGAGAGAGAGAGAGAGAGAGAGAGAGAGAGAGAGGAGAGAGAGAGATGTGTGTGGTGTGTGTGTGTGTGTGTGTGAAAAACAGACAGAAAGGAAGCGAGAAAGAAAGAAAGTAAGTTTTTAAAAAATATACTTAAAAAGCAGAGACCTATACGAAAGCAACCCAAAACCAGAAACAAATCAACTTATTAGATCTAGTTACCCAGAGAACAATATATAATGTCATAGGCTATAAGGGTTCGTCTCGAATCTTGGAACAGTGCAGCTTTTGTTCTTTGTCCATTTCAGAAAAGTAAATTAATTAATACAAAATGAAAGAATGAATAACAAATGAGTAAATGAATGAATGAAAGAATGAATGAATAAATGAATGAATGAATGAATGACTAAATGAATGAATGAATGAATAAATAAATGAATGAATGAATGAATGAATGAAATGGGATTATAACTCAAACACATTATTTTCGACAAATGTTTTTCTTTGAACTCCAATTCCAATCCCCATTTTTAGATAGATAGATAGATGATAGATAGATAGATAGATAGATAGATAGATAGATAGATAGATAGATAGATAGAT